GTTCAATATGCAAAGTGCAGCCTATGTTTAACATGTCTCATGTTTTAACATACTTCCAAAATGAAATGATTACACGATTTAAAACTGAAAAAAATTCCAACTTTTGTTCACTTTTCAAGGGCTTATAATTGTAACTAATTTGATTGTATAGATGACGTACCTCCTTCTTCTTTTTCGTCGAAAAGCTGTTTTAATGGTTTGAAAATATCAACTAACAAGTGTGCCACGGTCTTCCAGTTGGGTTTTAAAATCAAATCAACTTTATTGCTCAACAACTCTAGCTGGTACAATGTATGGCAAAGAAACAACAATGGAACATACACGAACTAATACTAAAATATAATTCTAAGTACACTGATATATGAGTAGGACATAAAAGGAGCATATTAAAGATATCTGATTTTGAGTGAGGTAGCGTAACATTAGTTTTTGGAAGCTATGGATTGCATTGAATTTTGTCTGTTTTCTTCATATGTTGGACATCATAAAGTTTATATCCAGGTATCTCACAATTTGTCGTAAGGGTCTCCTCTCCTCTAAGTCTAAGATTTATATGGAGTAGCGTCAAACACAAGCAATCACAATCGACCAATTACCAGGTTAATAACAGTGGTGTTGACAAGGTTGAAGTCTTCTAGTCATAAGAATTTTGTCCTCTGCTACACCAAATACCAAGTTCTTGTGGAGGGGGATGGACCAGCGGTTCAGAGACGAACCGCAAGTAAGGTGGCGCTTTTTAGAAATGGGGCCGTACAAGAAACATCGGTATGGACGGTGTGGTTATATCTCTCAACCATATCTGCTCATTGGATGTCCCTGTGTAAAAATCGGCCAAAATTCATCTTGTGTATTTTGGAAAATGAGTATTACTCTTCCTTTGATAAATCCAAGATTTATATAATACAAATGCAACTTTCAATCCATGATCAATGTATCCTACCAATATGTAAATTTTCACCTGTGTGTTTTTGCTGAGTCTACCCAGAAACGCAAACCACCTGTCCTAGCACCTTGCCTGATCCGCTATGTGAACCTTGCGGTGTTTGAGGTACTGGTACTTGATCCTGTTGTCCCTGGTTTTACAAAATGGCGAGGATCTTTGCCTGGCCTCTACCAGGCTTCGAAGCGGCTAGCTAGAGAAGAAATAGACAGATGATATATTAAAGCCAGGGGAGTTGGTCCGCACTGAGAGGACCTGAGCGGCAAACTGTTCTCTCAGCGCGGACCAACACCCCTGGCATATCATCTGTCTCTTTGGCCGATTTCTTCTCTGTCCAGCCGCTTCCCGAAGCCTCGTAGAGGCTACAGTCTTCCACATGGTCCACATTAGAACCGTGACCGATCAACGGTAAGCAAAGGGGGACAGCGAGACTCCGGGGCCGGTTCAGCACCCATCCCGACCACTTATCACCCAGACAGGGTGTCGGGAGCTGAACACACAACCCCGCCGGGAGGTTTATGGCCACTGAATCTCTGAAATCACCCCTGAAGTTCGGAATGCCAGCTCCGCTTCCTTCAGCCGCTTGGAAAGCTGTTAATAAAGTCGTGAGGAGGTTTTCATGGTCGAGGCTGACAAGAAAAGCTGTACTTCATTTGTGTGAACAGCCCGAACAGTGTTCGTCAAAGTGGGGGAGTGTTTCCCCCCAGTATGTTTTAATCAAGAACCCAAGGCTACCTAACAGAAGGCAAGGATCAAGATGTCAGAACTCAGAGGACTTTCCCACGGTCGTACAGACCTGGAGTAAATGGGAACCAGATTTTTGGGGGTAAAACTCACGGGGTCGTGGCGCGGGGAAGGCGAAGAGTTGACCGACAACACCCCCACCCTGGCCCAGACACGCACCGCCAGCAACCCCGTAGGAACCACGGCTAAAAAGCGCCGAGACTGCCTGAACAAAGGTCTCTGAAGGGGGAGGGGGGTGTAGAGTTACTGGGAGGTTACCGCATATCGGGGTGCTTCATCGTTTGATGTTAGTTTATACTTATGGTATTACAATGGGACTATTGTTTAAACATTCAGTCTGCAAAATCATTATTGACATGAAATTTACACACATCAAACAGGTTGGTTGACAAGAATAAGAGAATATACAACGAGTTTACCAAAAGCCACAATACTATGATTATGTTGGTATCTCTACAGAATTCGCAACTTTACTCTGAATTAATTATGGAAAACCATGTAAGTTATTGCTTGGTATTAAAAGTGAGATGAATTTGTTGAATCACTTCAACATGTCTTGTTATATGACATGCCTTATATCAAAGTTGAGGAAACCATATTTTGAATGGCTCAAAGGCCAACAACAGTTGACAGGTGGTTGCCAGCTTGCTGTATGTTGACATTTCATGGCGACAAATGATAAAACCATCGATGACGCTGTCCATCTGTGACGTCACCATCGTGTTTTGTCGTGATCCCTCGGGGAACGTCGTCCCATTTCAAAATGGCTTCCACTTCATCAACTGCGCAGGTGTCCCGTAGCAGAATAGATGTTTTTATGGTGATCGATAGTTTCAATTAGTAAGAAACTGTCCTGCCTCTGCACTATTAATTACCGATCAAGTTGTTCTCATAGGAAAATAACCATTTTTTTACTTGGTTGCCATCGCAACGGGTGACCCTCTGACCATGAACGATTTCCTTGCTCTAACTTTCAATGACCATGAAAGGCACCCCCCCCACACACACACACAAAGAAGAGAAGCAGGGGACTGACCAATCTTTCTACATGTATTTGCTTCTTTATTTGGTTTCTTTTAGTCTTAGCAGACTGAAAAATTCAGAAAATTGGAGTACAGATGTGATAACTCTAACCCGACAGTTGCAAAAAAAAAAAAAAACTTTTTGCTTGGCCTCTGACTTTTTCCTCTGACCAACTTAAGTTATTCAACCAATTTGACCATTTTCTACAATTCTTTTCAGCAACCAGTGTTGTATTTCTATTTCTAGTTTGTTCTATTGGAACTTGGGCGAACATTCAGTCATGGCAATGTCCTCACGGTAGAATACTCGCAAAATGAACGGAACATCTGAAAAATTTGTAAAGGAAAATACACTAACCTACTAGTACTCACAGTGCTCAAACATCCGGGATATTGACCATATGACATACCCGGATGAAACGTCTCCAAGCAAAGACAATGTCAAGCATACCTCTTAATCATAACACGGCCACGGGGGAGGGGGCGGTGTTAATTAACTTAATTTCCTTTAATGGCTCTTCAGTATGATGGTAATGCTCTGCCATATGTTTTCCTCGTCGAGGAGAAGTCATACATCATACGCAGCTCTTTCCTGACATGTGCCCCCCTCCCCCTTCGGAACACCTGCCGTGCACCCTCTGTATTGCTAATACAAATTTTCCGGATGTGTGTATACCTTTTGTCTCGGTCTATATGATGAGCTTTTAATAGATCTGATCCCCAGCTGTATGGATGCAGCACTGGTATGTGTTCATTAAAACTGTCCGGAAAATAAAGAAGATTAAAAAAGGAGCTATTGTCATTGGACAAAAACATTGTGCCGGTTTGCAAACACAATGATAGACCGCGTGGGGCGTGGATCTTGTATCATATCGTGTATAATATTGTTTGCAGTTCTATCCCGGGTAATAGGTCACTACATCAATGTCATTCAATGTCAAGTAAATTAAATTCTATTAACTTTTTTTTAGCAGGGATAAATAACTTGCGTTTAAGTTGTAACAGGCTTCTTGGTGATATTTTCCCTTTTCTTTAAATTTCTAAAAACAAAGTAGTCTTGAAGCCCCACATTTCACTGGGTATGTATTACGAAAACATTATTATCTTGAATTAAGCAAAATTTTGACGACTTTGATGTACAATTTAAATGAATAGTAGGAGGATCACATCATTATGGCATTTAAGATGTTAAAAAAATACCGGATACAATATTCAAAACAAATTATCTTTGAAATTACAAATGAAAGCTTGTAGTGACAGATGTTTGTGACAAAGTCGCGAAAATTTTTCTCAACTTCCTTCAGACCCATTCATATTCGTTTTTATCTATTGTACCTCAGAGTTGCAACACTTGCAGCAATAGCAGTACTCAAACTAGCTTAAAACAAACGTAAAACGATTGGAAATGATATTAGATGGAGATTAGAGTTTTCTCTTCTTGTTCCATAGTTCTATCCGCCGCTCCCCTGGGCTGACTGTTCCCGAACAGATGTCGGGTGTTCCGCTCGGTTGGCCCGGGCGTCCCGTGAGAAGACCTCGCCGTGTCCCGGTTACCCACTGGATCGTTACGGCGCATACTTGATCTTGGCCTAGCCTCTTTCTTACGGACCTTCCGTAGGTATTATCGCCAGGTCAATGTCATGAGAATGATGAAATATGCCAGTAAAAAAGTGCAAATCATCAATCATAAAATCATTTTTGTAACAATGACAATGACAATGAAGTTTATTGCATATTCATGCCCCAGTGGGGCTAAATGCACTCTTCAGTTACAAAAAAGGATTAGGCAAACTATGCTATGTTCTATCTATATATCTGGGCTCTACATGTTTCTTCTCTCCTCTTTAGACATTTGTATACGAATTTACAGAGTTTTTCTAATACATCATGGATACCTGAAGACAATATTTGTATGAATATATCATCCTTTGTTAGATGCGCCCATTTTTGTTCTAACTGTTCAACAACGAAGGTAGATCGTAGGTGTATATTTAACGTAACAACTCGAAGTCAAGTGAGTCAAGTAAGTAAACAACTAAGTATGGATTTTATTAATGTAGTGTCACAATTTCATTTCTGCATTTCCGTGTTTATTATATTAGTTCATGTCATCAAATTCTATTCATACTTCTAACTAGCCAGACTGTCCAAAGCTGAGGCGAGTGTTATAACTCCCTGTCACTCCGACGTTTCGGAAGTGTAAATATCCTTATCTGACGTGCAATATTTTCTTTGATTTCACCGTTTCCTTTTTATGTATGTCAGCGGGGTTCTCGGAAATCTATCCCGGGTACTCTGAGCGCAAACAGCCCGTCCTGTAGGAGTTCTGTCCCCGGGTAGGGTTTCATTTTCCCCCGTCTAAAAGCCGACCGGTCAGGACCCCGATATGGTGGAACCACACTGTTTAGTATCGTCATATCCGCTGATGAAATTAACAGTTGTACTCAATTTCAAAAGGCGGGTGTCAATTTTATATTGTGATTCATCGTATGTTGTGAGGAAATCACAGCAGTAACGAAATTAAGTCAGATATTCATGAAAACATACACTCATATTCTTAGTATTCTAACTTTGCAGTGATATTCAAAATGTAAAGTAGGGTGACCAAGTCTGAATGGCTTTGCGACAAACCAAAGTTTTGGACATATACATTTCTAATGCGCAAATTTCAACATATTCTAATAGGCTTAATTGGTAAACTAGCCTCCGTAGCAGGCTTATAGAACTGGGGGTTTGGTGGTCTTCGGCTGTTAGTTGATTAGCCCAGTTGTAAAAACAGGGGTAATTCAACCAGACCGGCTATGTTGTCTATATGCAATCAGAAAATAGCACATAAATGCTCCCAAAGACCCTGAAGACCCTAAAACCCCCAGTTTTTGGCATGCTATGGAGGCTATTGGTAAACCATTTGAAGCTCCTTGGGTAAACTAAGGAGGATTACACCCAGGCTAACATTCGAACACAACATGTCAGCAAGTTACTAGTACTGTTCACTTTAGCAAGCCCATATTGTCGTCATGCCATCTTTCATAATTTGAAAACTTTCATTAGAATGACTAGGTATTAAATGTTCCATCTTGCAAGCATTTCTTCCTTAGGCCACAGCGTGTAAATTTTATGGATGACATCTATAGAGACTCCAAATCTAATGCGAGCGGGCGGAAAAACCATATAGGCCAAAAAACAAGATTCCATTACAAAATGTTGACATCCTAAACCTTGAATGATATGAGAAGAAATGATACCTATATTGTGCTAAGTTTACTGGAAACTATTACAACATCCATTTGTCAATGAAACAACTTTGAAAAATAAAAGTTTTCAATCATTGACATTGTACAAATAGGTTTGATTCAGTGGGAACATATAAAAGGAATAAAATACGTCACTGCATCAAAGGAAAAGACAAAGAAATCAGAGCCTTTTCTTGTCTCCTCTCTTCATATTTATCTGCCACCCACCTTCCGGAATGACAACAGAAATCTTTGCCCATTTTCGGCATGTCGGAGGGCAACAATTTTTTTTTTTTCAAAATCGGCGACAATTAATGCGCGCGCTGATGTCATCCATAAAATTATTTGCTGTGGTCTTACTGTTTACAAAACTTGAAGTCTTCGTTTAGCTTAGTTTACTTTACGTACAAATCCCACGTTACTATTTCAAAACTCAGCCCAAAGTTCCCCGTCGCTCTTCCCCCACGCTCAGCTGGCTTGATGGACAGCTCCTAATGACAGTCGTTCCATTTCTGCTGTGATTTTGACCTTGGGGTGATTTACTGCAACTCTCGCAACGGCGTCATGTTTGGGAAATTAACAGCCAATTAATGAAGTTAATAGGGAGTAGGGTTCCTCGCCAATGAGCAGCGGGTATATGTAATGAAATGAATTGAGTTCATCGCACGCGGCCCGGGTTGAGCGGCGGGATCCATCATGTCTGGTCCCGCCTCGCCGAGCGCGCTAAGTCTCTCCCCGAAACTTAGTTAAACTTTCATATGTAATTTTCATCAATTCCAAAAGTTGTAAAGAAAAATCCACACAGTGCCTGCCTATCGATTTCCTTACAGTCATCAATTTCTTGTTGCTATTTTTTTCTGGTTTGAATTTGTCGTAAATCTATTCCAGAAATAATCTGTCACAGAGAATGGAAGGGTGTTTAAAAATACACGATACTTTCTGTAAGCACTGAAATAGACGAAACAACGAAGAGATTTGACTGAAAAGATGGCTTACCAAATGACAAGCGGGCGCACTATCATGACTAGATGTGCTTTCTTTCTGTTTGTATTTAAAGAGTTTGAATTCGCTCTCTTAATTGTTATTACCTCAAATCCAACTCAAAGCTTTGATAATAGATTTTATCTTTACATCTTTAACAACTTGAATTCAAAGCAGTTACGTTTCAGACTTCTTCAACATCACAATTTTTTATAGCTTATGTAACCGGCGAAGTAAATCGTTAAACATCTAGATATACGTCTGTTTCCAGTGTGTGAAGAATTCTTTCTTATATCGTGGCTCTTTAATGTATACATTGAACGTTCACGTCACCATTCCAGTGCTTGGCTCCCCTCTCTCTGTCACATTTCCAAACCGGGGCCCGGCCGGGCTGTTTGCGTTAACGAAAAATTCAGTCGTTATCAACAATACACACAAACAGTACATTGTTACGATTATATTTATTTATTTATTCTTTCTTTTTGTATTGGGTTGTCTTTTGTGTCATACTTTTCGTTCCCGGAAACTGCCCGGCCGGGCCCCGGGTTGTGGATTGTGACTTAAGCATTATATAGCCATTTCTTTCTCCCAGGCACAGACAATAAGGGCATTGATTGGTTCGATACATTCTATTCACAGCGCTGGCGTTTTAATGGCCCTTCTCTTAATTTGTATGCAATAAATGTCACATCGCGCCACCCCAGTCACAGATCATGAGGCGTTTTCATCGCAAGTAATGACATGAAAAGGACACGCGCCAACTAATCTACATAATTACCCATCCTTTTGTTGTCTGGCTGCGCGCCCCATGAAACTTACACGGAAATTGACTCCACTAATAATGTATTGAATTCCCGGAAAGAACGTCGATCAAATGTAAATTTTCAATCGAACAGAAAACGCTTTGACTACTACTTGTTCTTTATTCTTTTACAAGTTCAAAATATGCATAGGTTTGGTTGAAACAGCACGTATAGAAGGTTTGATTGAATGTTTTCAAAATTGACTGCACTAATAATGTATTGAATTCCCGGAAAGAACGTCGATCAAATGTAAATTTCCGATCGAAAACGGTGCTTCAGAAGGAAAACGTTTTGACTACTTGTTCTTCATCCTTTTACAAGTTCAAAATATGCATAGGCTTGGTTGAAACAGCACGTATAGAAGGTTTGATTGAATGTTTTCAATTATTCTCTCATTAAGGTATTTTAATCTAAGGCTTATCTTGGCTTATTGAAGTTATACATCGGTGTAATCATATCATTATCAATACAATTAACTGGTTACAAGGAAAGGCCAAGTTTAAAGTATAACATTGACATCTACAAGTACTTATCCTTCCCCAGTCCAAATCTAAGTTTGCAAAGTCAGTCTGAACAATATACAACAAAAGCATAACAGATATTTTATGATAAGGTTCCTAGAACCAAATTGTAAAATTATAGCAGGTCATCTAGAGAATTTTCGTATCTTTTTTTTTAATTTTCCGTTTCCGTTGTGGTTTCCCTACAACTTGCTTTGTTTGCAATAACATAGAAAAGTCTTGTCGATATAAAGCTTACTTCAAGCGTGGCAAAAGTCTTTATTAACAAAAATCTAACCGATATTCCGCAGCGTGCAACAGAAGCCAACCATCCAAGTTGTACCCCGTATATTTATTGAGTTCCCCGCCACACGGAGTTGTCTCTCCGGCGGACCAAACTTCACCGTCGCCCGAGGACATGAGCGGAACGGGGTCCCGGCTGCCGTGCATTTTAATACACCCTTAATGAGAGAACATATCATTCCGATCGGAACGTAATTAATCTACAATAATCTAATAACTTTGGTAATATTTTCGCAATTAGGGGTCAGCAGTGGGCGACAGGAAAATCACCACCGTTGCTTTTCCGCTTCGCTTGTTCATCTCAGAGCTTTTAATTTCGCAAGCAAGCTGTGAAATATGTCGGATAAAGTCCCCACGCTGCTGGGACTCCATTCATCTTTCACGCCGAGCGGACTCTCCCAGGAAAACCCTGTCGCCTGCACCTGTTGTCTTCTAGCTCCTGACGAATGGTCGTCTTTCAAACCAAGTCAATTTCTCGATCAATTTGGATGAAACGGGCACAGGAAGACCCTGGTCATTGATGTGATAACTTGTTGCATGTGGGTTGGGAGCCCCCGGGTGATTTGGGTCGGGCCTCCACTCGAATCAATTTCAGAGGAGACCAACACAAAGAGAAGCTTTCTGCGCAACTGTCCTAGGGCAGTTTGGTAATTAAGGTTAAAAGGACTTAAATGAGGGTTTGATCGGAAAGTAAGGGCAGCCGACTGAGAACATCTGCTCAGCCGAGAGTCGGGGATTGAGGAGGTTCAGATCTTATCAATTTTGTAAACGGTCTAGAAATATTCAATTGTACCTCATTGTTCAGTTATAATATAATATGATACTAAAAATGCAT